CATTATTAGGCCAGGCACAGTGGCTCATGCCTGTAATCCCAGCACTTTGGGAGGCTGAGGCAGGTGGATCACCTGAGGTCAGAACTTCAAGACCAGCCTGGTTACCAATATGGCAAAATCCTGTCTCTACTAAAAATACAAAAAATTAGCCAAGTGTGGTGGTGCACGCCTGTAGTCCCAGCCACTGGCAGGGCTGAGGCACGAGAATTGCTTGAATCTTGGAGGTGGAGGTTGCAGTGAGCCAACATCGCATCACTGCACTCCAGCCTGGGTGACAAAGTGAGATTCTGTCTCAAAAAATAATAATAATAATGGGAAAAATTATTTAAAGAAATGTGATCTTTTGCTTAGTTTTGGAAACTTTTAAATGGATTACAGTTAAAAGATGAAAGAATAATTGGATAGTTTAGCAATATAGTCACAAAGACCAGCTTATTAATTAACTCTAAGAACCCCTGAACTTTTCAGTGCTTCTCTGACTTGTGGTTCTGTGTTTATTTTCTAGTATGCAGTGCTCTTTTTGCTGGGTTTATTTGTGCTTGTCCACCGTGAGTAAGAAGTCTGCCTTGCTGTTCCTGGGAAGATGCCATACTTTTCGTTACTGGATGTTTGGAGTAGATACTGGTCTGTGATTGGTGGAATGGAGAACACACATGGTGCTTCTGGGTAGCACTGGTTTGCATTAGTTTATGTTTCCACGCCAGAGTTTGTTTGGGTGGGCACATGTGCACCACAGAGTGCACTTGAGGGGACTTTTCAATCACAGGATTTCATAGCTGTCATTGTCACACTTTCACATTTTTGTACATCAGTGAATTTTTTATATTAAAAGGTTGAGCCAAAGCCCCCAGTGTTTGTATTTTGAAGCCAAGCTTCACTTCTAAAGTGCCTACAGAGACTTGTACATGACAATGCAGCTCTGCACGAGTTTGAAACCGTCATACCTCCTTCTAATAGGAATGGCATATACTGAGGTGGTCATAAGTCTTAACTTTTAAAATTTTAAATAAAAGACTTTGCACATTGAACCCCTTATCCCTGAATTGTATTTGTTGGGTAAGCTTCTGGAATTTGCCTTCCTTCGCTGGTTCTTAGTACTCCCTGGGGATATAAAGGCTTCATGTGAACAGTCCTTCAGCTAAGAAGCTTGCTCTGATACTAACAACCAGTTTGTTTGTTTGTCCGTTGTGCGTGTGTGTGTGTGTGTGTGTGTGTGTGTAGCCATTGACACTCATAGGAAATCTGTTAGTCATAAAATAGATTCTTCACGTGACTCAGGTGTGTATAAACCCAGCTAGTGTTGCTGAGAGGTTCAGAAAATCTCACTTGGTTATAAAAAGTCATAACCCTTTCTACACTTGAGACATTCTCAGCACTTTCTACACCAAGGAAGTATGTGAGCATCTAGAGGTAGAGGAAGGGGCTGGGGAACAAGCATTCTGCTTGTTGTCTTTACACTCATTTGTCTGAACCTGTTCTCTCAAGTGCCTGACTTTGCGTTTCTCTATGCAGACTTAAAGCAGGAAGTTTAAAGTAGTGAATGCACAGCCCAATTGTATGTTTTCTTTTAATATGAAGGCAGTGAGGGAAAATGGAGCGCAGAGTAAACCAATATGTTTTGAGCACAAAATACTCAATTCTATCTGTTCTCTCGTTGTAGTCATGTGAAGTCGTAAAGTAAGTGAGTTTTCTGTGCTGGGCTACTTGAACGGTTTCTATTATTTGTTCGGCTGCAGTGGAAGCCAGTCTGTGCTGTAGTGCTAATGGCACGAGAACAGGGACAATTACTCTTCTGAAACCCTCCCCTGTGGAGAATAGTGCTTTCCTAAACCCATTAACCAGGCTTTAGCCTTCCAGCTTTGGATATGGGCTCCTAATATTCTCACAGAGTATGAAACTTGGCAAATCAGTGCTAACAAATGCTTTTTTGAACCTGTCTGAAAGGCTTATAGAGTACTTATATTTCCTCATGAGCCAGAGGCTGAACATTCCCTGTGTGGAATGGTAGAAAATTGCTGTTTATTCCATATTCCCCCTTCGTCATCTGTGGAAGATGCGGTTCACTGCTCAGCCTAATCAGTACACTGGTTTTTGTACCAACTAGAGCTGGATGCTCTACTGTAAGCAACAACTACATTTCTCTGAAAAGATAATCAAACCATTTAATATTTTAATCACTCCATTAGCCAAAAATTGAAAAGATTGCTTGTGGGGAGGGGTATTATAACCCCAAATTTTTATCTTGTCTAGTTTAGTGCTAAACTTAAGACTTAAAATGCGAGATTTTATTAGCAAATATATCCTAAAAGCTCTTTGAAAATGTAAGAAATGCCAGAGAGGTTTCATTTGCTAATTGAATGGAGTGAGAAGCTCTTGGGGATTTGCAGGGCACGTGGAGAACTGGGAAGGCTCAGCCATTGTGAGTGAAGGGAATTGAAGAAGAATATGAAAACTGTTCGAACTTTAAATGAGAAATTGATAATGGGTTACCTCTTTGGCTGTTACTTGGCTGTTTTTATAACTCCGGGGAATAAATCTCTATATTATTTGCAATGCCTGTCCTCAGCTCTGGCTCCATGTCTCTGTTTCCTCTGGACACTTCCACTTGATTGTCCCATCTTTAAACTCAAGTTCCTGAAAACTTCCCCTCCAACTTTCATGTTTTCTTTGAAGAATATTCATCAAGATTTGCCATTTCCCCACCATAACTAGTCACGTTCTAAGTCCTCCATTTACGCTGTTATTCCATTCTCATTGCCATCACCTGAATCCAGAAATACTTACTCAGTGGCTCCCCATTGTTTGTGTACTGGTCCCCCTGCAGTGTGCCAGTCCAATTATTTTGGATAATTACCATCTGTTATTAATAATTAGTTGTAGCCTGCCTTTTACTTTCAGACATGCTTCTTTTTTTTCTTCTTCTTCTTTATTTTCTCTTACACAGAAGAACAGAAATGCTTCTTGTTTGGACCATAAATTTTGTGTTCATCCTACCTTTTGAATTGAATTCAGACTTTGAATTCCACTAATGGTAAGTATCCTTATGAGTGCAGACATCCGTGTGTTTAGGTCTTCATCTGTCTGATCCCGCCTCTGTATACCCTTATTGGGAGGAAGACACTAATACTTTCTTTACTCAGACCAGGCACGGTGGCTCGCACCTGTAATCCCAGCACTTTGAGAGGCCGAGGCAGGCAGATCACATGAGGTCAGGAGTTTGAGACCAGCCTGGCCCACATGGTGAAACTCTACTAACAATACAAAAATTAGGCAGCTGTGATGGCGTGTGCCTGTAATCCCAGCTACTCGCGAGGCAGAGGCAGGAGAACTGCTTGAACGCAGAAGGCAGAGGTGGCAGTGAGCTGAGATTATGCCACCGCACTTCAGCCTAAGTGACAGAGTGAGACTCCATTTCAAAAAAAAAAAACTTTCCTCATTCACAACCAGCTGTGTCAAAGTATTATTTTTCCTCCTTTGCTGAGTGTTTCCACTTGCATTATCTCAGTTTATTTCTGTTTATCTGAATCTTACCACGTTCACAAGTTCTGCTGCCACTGAGCATTTGCAGCCTCATACTGTTTAAGTTTGTGGATATGGCTTCACAGTTCTGGCATATTGTAAGCCCCTCCGGGACAGGAGCCCCATCTCATAGACACTGTACTGTCTTTCCCCGGTAGTCTGAAACAGCATGTATTAAATGTTCAATATAATCACGCACTGGAGCCAGAGGCAGTAGCTTCAGTTAGCATTGTTGTTGAGCTGTTATTTAGAGGCAGAGCATATGAATCATTAAAGTGATCTGTACTTTCCTGTTATTTAGTAAGTACATTTTCTTGGTCTTGCCAAATAGAATCTGAAAACTTTCTCCACGGTTCCATTTAAACAGCATGTAACCTTCCCAGATTTTTAAATGTCAATCCTTCCTTTCTTCTTTTTTGTGTGCATCCTTAGGCTCTTCTTGTGTCTTCTTTCTTGATGGGAGAAGTATTGGCATTTGTCATTTTTCTTAAGGAGTCACAGGCTTCCTTCTTAGAGAGCCAGGGCTTGGAAGAAAGTAAGTCTTTGTTATCCTGAGTTCATTTCTTGGTATTTGCATAAGCTTTTGCCAAGTCCAGCTAACCTCTCAGAATGTGGCATGGAGGCTGATTTCAGAATCTGAGGGCATGGGCTCTTCCTATGACATTTGCCACTGTTAAGCTTGAGAGATGACCCAGCTGTTCCTAGCTAGGTAAATGGATGTCTACCTTCATCAAGCAGCTCTTTCAGTCAGGATGGCCTATTCAGGCTGTTTTGTGGCCAGATATATCTTCACCACTACTGTCTCTTGCTAGAACAGTCAGTAATACCAGGCAGGCTTTCAGAAGTAAAATAGCAAATATGACCCTTCACACACAACTGTGGTGGGTCTGGATATAGAAGGAATGCTGTGTAACCAAGAAGCATTATCAAAACTAGAATGTGCAGGGCTTACTAAAAAATGTTGGAGACGTTGTCTTCCACGTGCCATTCTAGGCTCTAAGGATTTTTCTAGCCTCACTTTCACCAGACATCACATTCTTGCACCCTGGACATTAGTTTATAGGACAGACATTCTGTGCTTATGCTGATTACTCTGCCTGGAGTGTCTGGTCACTTCCCTACCTACCAAAAGCTTTCACGTTCATTTAGCAGACTTTTTTTTTTTTTTTTTTTTTTTTT